GTGTTTGTGTTTCTTGACCCAGGCGGGGCGGATGGAAGGGAGGAGTTTGTCTGAAATGAGGAAAATTGTGGCGAACCAAAACAGGCTTCTCGGGTGCCCTTTGTTGAAATAATAAAAGTAGTTAAATGTTTTGGTGGGCTGGGGTTATTGGGTTGGGTTTTTTGGGGGTTTTTTTTTCATGGGGGGGGGGGGGGGGGGTACCGGCCTTTTAGACAGATTGATATTTTTTAAATACCACACAGTAATTGCGAGCTCTAAGATATGACGTCATCAGTGCCCGTGACGTAGTGCTTGGGTCCTTTGCCTTGTACGCAAAAGACACAAGGTCAATCTTCAATCTCCACATGGGGTTGACAATAATTATGTTTTTCTGGTATGTTTCCTTGTTTTCTCCCGACATTCACTATTTCTCTCAGCCTGGGTTGGCCCTGACAGACAGGCAAGCTTGAAGTAGGCCACCTCTTAAATGAACTAAACATATATATTATGTTAAACATCTACAATCATGCTTCCCTTGAAGTTGAGAGTTTGTTTCAGAATGCTCTCAGTAAAGCGCATATATATAGCTAGCTGTTGAGCAGGGATTTGTGCTATACAAATGCTATCTATTATTATTATGTTAAGAACAATTAATCACATTGGCATTCATCGTTATTACGCTTACCTCTCTACCATTCTACCAAAGACACGGGTTTTGGGGGTGTATACGTACAATGACGTACAAACGTCAGAGGCGCAGAAGGTAATTCGATCATTCTGTTTTGCTTTTGTTTTATTTTTATCTTTCAATTTTTCTTAAATATATAGATGTTTTATTATTTTTATTTTATCGTGCTAGTTCTATCTTCTGAATATGTGGATGTGCAAGTACGTTATTTCTTTGATCAATGTTTCCATCTTTATTCGAGGGAACTTCCCCCCTTCTTCCACCACCACCCCACCCCAAACCTTTTACTTTTCGGGCATCGTACACTGCTTTCTTCGTTCATCGTCAGTGTTTGCAAAGCCTTTCGATCTACTTGTTTCAACAGTAGAAAAGCTTTCGCCTTTCGTTTTCACACTTCTGTTAAATGTGTTTGTGTTCTTTCAGTGTATCACAATTTTTGTGAAGCGATACAAACTTTCGTTCTTGAAATAGGAAAAAAACATTCTGTCAATGGACCTGATTTGTCTTCTTCTTCTTTTTTTTTTTTAGTGCTCCCTCTCTTTTTTATTCACTGACTTCGTTCGCTGTTGATGGATTCATTTGTCTTTCTATTTTTTTCCCTTTTTCGTCACACTAGATGTTCCATGTTTACGGTGCCTCACTTTGCACTGACTGAGTTTTCTCCATAGACTTGTATTATAATACGATCCTAGACCATGCACTCTGACGTAATTGTAGTTCATCATAGAGCGCACCATTTGACTCTTATTTGGAATCAAATGAAGGGCAAGAGGAGCCCAGAAGCGCTCGGGCTCAAATACTACGAGAACTCCACTATTGCCCATTTTTTCGTCCTTGGGGCACACAAGGGGGGGGGTTGTGCGCGTACTCGACTTAGCGAAGTCGATGTTTTGCTCTACATTCAAGTGCTTATATGGCGCGCACTAGCGCAGCAAATTTATTATTTCTTAAATAAAGAGCAAAGAGCGGTGGCCTTGACAGTGCCCGGTCTAGGATAATATTATGATTCAAGTCTGTGCTTTTCTCTGATCTTGGTGTTCAGTGTCTTAGACTCCTCCCCCCCTCTCCTTGGTGTGCAAACGAGATGCTCTTGTGTAGTATAGTTCGTTACCCCTTTTGGGTATACTGCATGTAGGGTAGTTTTAGGAAATGAAAAAATGTTTTAAAGGAGGAGGAAGGAGTTTAGATTGTAAATTAGACTGAGAGAGCTAGGCAAGGGAATTATCCTGAAATCGTGTGAGTCCACACTGTCTACTGCAAGGAATTTAATTTTTGTTTTGGGGGGGAGGGGAGCTGTCCTCTTGTACCGCAGTGTGTCGAGGGGAGATGCAATAAACTTGTCAGATGTTGGCCAGGCGTGTTGCTATTTTGATCCCCATAATAGTGTGCCTTTGGAGTGTGTCTTTGACTCCATCTGTCCCAACTTTTTCTTGGTCTTCCTTTTGCCTTGAAGCCGTCGATTCCTATTATACTATGTTATGTAGGCCTTTGAGGCTGGCTGTTCTGGCCCCATTTTCTCGACGACGTGTCCAAACGAAACCGTTTGATTAATTTTGTCTCTCGGTGTATATCGTGCTCGATTCGACGTCCACTCGTTGGCTCTGGTGTTCTTTGTTTCTTCTCGTGATGTCTAGATCTAGCGTCTTTCTGAACCTTACTGCGAGGTCTTTACCTGAATAAATCGGTAATTTCTCCTTAGGGCCGGTTTCTTTTTTCTCTATCTTGTATTTTTTTAATTTTTTTTTTTTGGGGGGGGGGGTGAA